TCTAGCGGCTAAACGGTTGAAGATATCAAAATGCGGTTTGCACCAATCAAAATTTCATGAAATTTGAGCATTAGAGTGGGGGGTTCATTTTTTTCTATCTCTAAAAATAAAGGGTGTTTCCATAAGAAAGTGTCCAAATTGGCCCACCCTGTACAGTCGGAATCATTGCAATAGGGAACAATCATATTTTTAAAATTAAAAAAATATTTTAAATTTCAAATTATTTTCGTTGGCGCGAAAACAACGATAACCTTCAAAATGGCAGTACTTGTGACGTCAACTGTCTGTAAACACAACGTTAAGGACGTTAAGGTCTGTTCTCACAAGAGCCTCTGACACTTTGCAAACTGTCAGAAAGAATCGCTCAGCTTCAACCTTCAGCTGCATTGGAAGCAGTTATTATGTGGTGTTTCCGTATTTAGTGCCGTATTGTGACATTTCGTGTGTTAAATCCTTCATCATGGTTGGGTTGATAAAGGATTTACAAAAGCACAGTCTTACAATCTTCCCTCTATACTAGACTCATTTATGGTGGTTCAATATCAGTCGTGGCGTGACGTGAGCTGATCGTGGACTAATCGTTCTACGACTCAAGAGTGAACCACGAAAACGTGGACCGTGGATTCACGATCAGTGTAAATTACCCTTAACCTTAATTTACGAACAGTTGACGTCACTGGAAGCGGCCATGTTAAACGTAACTTTTCAATTCAATTTAAAACTAATAATAGACCTATCTATTTTACCAGACAAAGAGGTAATAATACGAAAACTTTATTAGATAGAAAAAGACGTAGAACGCTTATTGCGCAAGACGAGGCAAAACGTACCAAATTGTGTTAGACTTACAAACAGCAATCCATTCTTATTATTTGCACGGGATAAAAAAGGAAGGAGGAGAACCGCGTGACATGCAACCTATTTGTCAATCAAAAACACAAACAATTGAAAATCGATCACTTGTCAAGCTACGTCAAGTTGAATATCAAGCATAATTTTATCCTTGTCAGACCACGGGCAATGAACAAGGACATGGAGGTGCCCAGCGTGCAAAACGATCACCTCATACCTGTACTAGTTAGCCAATAAAAATGCATTGCCTCGTGTTGCGCGCGCATACAGGTAAAAATAGATAGGTCTATTGCCGTATGACTACAATATCAATAAATTTAACGCAAAACTGCTCATATTCAATATTTTACAGAAAAAGGTGCACCATAAAAACAAAATAAGCCATATTTACTTCTCATGAAAATTCCCTATTGGCACACACTCTTTAAAATCCCCCGTATTAAGTTAAAAATTCTAACCAATAAATCTATTTAGTGCAGCATTTTGCTATTACTCTGTGTCAGATTTGACACATTACGAGGGATATTTACATAGTGTGTGCCAATTGCAGTGATTTCCACTGTACCTAATAAATCAATAAATTTTGAGAAAAGATTTCAATTCTCACAATGAGCATGGCTGATAGACGGCTACAGCCACAGTGCCAAGTGCCACAGTACAGCTGCTAACTTTGCAGTAACTTGGAAAAGAAAGACCGTAGAGCTGTTTGCTGTTCATAGTTCATACACTTCAAAAAAGTGCAACAGATTGGTGGATTCATTTTATACACGTTAAGTTAAAAGGGGCTTGCTACATACAGTTTTTATCAGTTCTATAACATAACTAGGGTTGCCAGACGTCCCGATTTTAACGGGACAGTCCCGATATTGGAGATTTTGTCCCGTGTCCCGATGGACTATACGTCGGGACGCTAAATGTCCCGATTTCACGGTTTTTTTTAAAAAGTTGGAAAAAATTAAAAGTATGAGACACTTATTTTTGAATTGTACTTGTTAATTATCTATTACTATTATTTATAATTATGTCAAGATTCTTTTGGTTTTGACGATAAGAATACACTAATGCATTTTATGCACTTTAGGGATTAAAAGTACCCTTCCAATCCCTGTTTTAAGGGGGTAAAGTAGGTCTTTTAATCTCTGGGATTATTTTTCACTTTATTTCCCAAGCAGAGCTGGGCACGCTACTTGGAAAAAGTAGCTAGCTACAAGTTACAAGCTACTTTATATTGTAAGTAGCTAAGTTACTCAGTAGCTCAACTACCTCTTTAAAAAAGTAGCTGGTAACTTAACTACATATTGAATGAAAGCTACTATTTAAGCTAATTTTTTGAAAGTTAAATTGATAAAAACAAAAAAACGTGCACAATCGCCACCATCAATGTACATACCTTACCTAATTTAATTTCATAATATCATCATACGAAAATAATATTTTAACTTTTTCCAGGAAGTTGTATTCATATTTTTGTCAAAAAGCACTGGACATTAATTTATTAGGTTCACTTTGATCACAGTGATCTGCGAATGCGAGAATAAAACAGGACACATAAAACATAGGTACCTACAGAGTACAGAGATAAGTAGAAACTAGTCTAAGCAAGGCAGGATAAGATTTTTCCGGAAAATGATAATTGTAGCTTGAGCAATTAAAGTAGGTATAAAGCAGAGCTGGGAGTAACGACAAAAAAAAGTTACTTTACTTTAACGAGTTACTGAAAGTAACGCGTTACTAGTTACTATGAAAGTAACTCGTTCTCTGAATTTGTTTAGCTTCTTTATAAATAATTGACGAGTGAGGAAAAGGAAAATAAGTAATCCAAAAACTTTGTACGTCAAATAAAATGTTGGTAGTACAGAAAATTTCTTTTGAAAGCTCAAAATAATCGTTTTTGAGCGTACCACGCGCCGCCTCTGCTCTAAGGACACTATATGCAGACACTGGGACACTTCAAAGAGCAGGTTTGTCCAAAATCAAGTGCTCTATTCAGTCGCTTAATCCTTAATCCGTTTGAATTTTGCAAAAATACTCTTCCACATAGTCAGACTCACAAACTAAAAACATATTGGCATTTCGTATAGGTCTTATTTGATTGTTTGGACTGCTGTGTTAGTGAGTCAAATTAAGGAATAACGCAATTTTCGACGTAAATAGTTATTTTTGAAGTAACGCGTTACTTTAAAAGTAACGAACTACTTTTAAAGTAAAGAAGTTACTTTCAAAGTAACGAAGTTACAGTAACGCGTTACTTTACAATAAGTATTATTTGATGAAAGTTTGAGTTTTGTAGGTCACATTCACAATCTCACAGTGAGTTCGTCTAAACTATTGGGTTTTGTTTTAAGACACTGTAAAAACTTTTCACTTGAAACTGCTAGGAGTGTCTATTGTTCTTTGGTGCGTTCGAAGCTGGAATATGCTTCAGTAGTATGGTCACCATATCATGCAGTTCACAAAGCAACTATTGAACAGATTCAGCACAAATTTCTAAGACATTGTGCATTCAGATTAGGACTTGTGATTGTTGATCATGATTATGCTGCCATTGAAAATCAGCTGAAAGTGAAAACCCTTTCTAACCGGAGAAACTCTGCTGGAATGATTTTTGTTTGCAAGTTGGTCAATGGTATGATTGATTCTGCTGATCTCCTGCTATGCATAAATATAGACACACCGACTAGAAATAGAAGAGGCGATTTTGTGTCTTTTAACATTCCCTATCATCGTACTAACTATGGTCAAAACTCACCAATAGATAGATATTGTAAGTTAATTAATTATTATCACATAGAAATATTTGGTTTAACTTTGTCTCAATTTCGAAATCATTTGTATAGGATTACTTTTTAGTATGTAAATGAAACTCTGAAGTGATACATATTTTTAGATTTAATTCATAACAATCTAGAGTCATAACCATTTTTGTTGTATATTATAACTATTAATGGGGGTTACCCGTAAATAAATAAATAAATAAATAAATAAATAAATAAAAATAAAAGTAACGAAAATAAAGTTACCATTATTCGAAAGTAACTGTAAATTTTAAGTAACGAGTTATTTTTAAGCAAAAGTAACTGTAAAGTAACGCGTTACTTTTTTCAAGTAACGATCCCAGCTCTGGTATAAAGTTACTTTTATTGAGCGGTAAATTCATCTTACCGCCCGCGTTTGCTACGATTGATCTTACCGTCTCTTTTAGAAGATAAATCAGTTAGAATAATTTATTAGGTATATTCACCCAAGAACCATACCTACACATATTTTTACCAAAATCGGTGTGGATAATCATGGAAAATATAAAAGTTGTTGATTTTTGGAAGATTTACAAATACAAAAGTTGCTATTTTTTTAGTGGAAACGTGCCTTTATATAAAGGGGAAGACTGTTTATTTTTGAAAACAATGTCGAATGGATGCAATTATATTATAGGTATAGTTATTTCATTTTTGAACTAGAAGAGTTCGCTGTGCTTAAAACGTTACAAGTATTTTGGGCTTTAAGTGTCGTTAACCACACTCTCGGGCGGTAAATGACACTTTCTGCCATTCATACCTAAATAACTATTAACTATCTACCAAAAGTGGTTTAAGTAGCTAGCTACTTTTCACAGTAGCTTATGAATACATGGAACACATTAGCAAACGCTACAGCTACAAGCTACTTTTTTTTCAAAGTAGTTTGAATAAGCTATTAGCTATCAAAAAAGTAGCTAAGTTAGTAGCTCAACTACTTGATAGCTAGCTACTGCCCAGCTCTGTTCCCAAGGGATTAAATTTTTACTTTATTTCCCGGGGATTAATGAAACGCGTTACTTTTTTATTTTTAAATTTTGTTAGAAGTTTCATTGTTCAGTTACATTTTATTTCCTTTATATTAAATTATTCCTTCAATAAAAAAGTGTCCCGATTTTTATTGAAAGTCCCGATTTTTTAACAGCTTTTTGATTGGTATACCCGATTTGTAGATATTTCAATCTGGCAACCCTAAACATAACTAGTTCTGATACCATGGGCTTGCTGAGGTCAAATATTTTCCCTCAGTAGTATTTAGTCAGTTTGTGATCACCTATATTGGTAATCTTGCCTGGACACCAATTTAAATCAATAAAAATATGGAATAGACTGAAATGTAACCTCAATACTTACCTCAATGTTTTTCCACTTGCTGTAATCCACCATCTTGATAATTTATAAAGGTATAATTATTCTTGTATTATTTGAAAAAACAATTCAATCAATGAAATTCAACAAGCAAACTGTCGATTTTTTACTTATTTTGATTTTAAAATTGAACTTTCCGGAATATTCTACACTTCAGTTTCAATCAAACACCATTCACTACTAATCACTAAAGCAAACTGTCATGTCAAATCAATCAGAATAAATGTCATATTTATGTGATCTCTTGGGTGGGTTCCGTTTCTAAATTTGGTTAACCGGTCGGTACAACGTCGATTGACAGTTGACAGTGGTTGTTGCTGAAAATTTGGAACGCTTTTCCAATCGCAGAATCGCGGCCGGTTGCCTCGGTGACATGTTTGACATAACCATTCTCAGGAACCGCGTTCGGTATATAGACCGGTTTTTCAAACACCAAACATTACGGAACGTGTAACCGTAACCAAGGTTGAAAACGGAACCCAGTCCTTGTCTAATCTGCCAGTTTGGCCAGTGAATGAACAGAATTTTCATTTTTGTACCGCACCGCTTGAAGTGCTTGATCTAAAGTTCATTCCACGAAACGAGATAGTAGAGGTAAACAAACAGTGTTTGGTGAATTATTGTTAATTAGTGAGCAATTTAGATTAAAACAACATCAAGTTCAACAGATTCCGCTGAAAAATTTGTTCGGAAATATATTCAGAGAAGAGAAATACAAAACCACCTACGACAGTCCTGTCTAGGGCGGAGTATAATCCTTTTCTAGCCAATAAAATTTGACTTACCTGTCAAAGTTTGTTTACTTTCACTATTTCGTTTCGTGAAATGAACTTTAGTCCAAGCAACCCAAGGATGATAAACACTACTACTACAGGATGGCCTATCCTCATAAGGCCTGTGTGTAACATATCCCTCTCTTCCCCGCCAAACAACCAGTTGTGACGTAGGCAGCATGTTTTTCGCCTTGACGTAGGCTGTTTAAACAGCTGATGACGTCCAAGGATGATACACCCTACTACTACAGGATGGCTTATCCTCATAAGGCCTGTGTGTAACAAATCCCCCCTACCCTCCCATGCCAAACAACCAGTTGTGACGTAAACAGCATGGCGTTTCTCGCCTTGACGTAGGCTGTTAAACAGCTGACGATCGGCAATGGGTGAAAACAGTTGAAAACCAATATGGCGGCGAGAGTGTGTATTCTCCTTAGATGACGTCGGCAATGGTTGCACACCAATATGGCGGCGAGGCCGATAAGCACTCCTTATAGTGTGTTTTCTCCTTGCAAGCAACCCCGCCCCGGTGCTCAAGACCATTCTCAGGAATGACTACTCGGCATCTCCCCTGTTTTGAGATGCCGATCTAGCAGATTAGCAGATACAGACGAAAATCTAAAATTAGTGCTTACCGTGCGTTCGATAACTATCATCTGAGTGAGTTCTCCGAGCTTGAATTTACCGTTCGTTTATTAAAAAAGTGTATTCGGTGCAGGCTCATTCGTATTCGTTTATTAAAATTTCGGGCACTCTGATACAGCGTTCAACTGCTCTGTTCGCTCGCTGGTCACGTGATTACGGCTCCTCTCAGCACGCTCTGTTCTTTGAGCAAAATACCGAACGCAAGGTTACTTTGGGTCAGAAAATATCCTAAACCGATGCGTTTTCACATAAAATCTGTTTTTTTTTTAAAGATAAAAGTCAAAATGACATTCTTTTGGCAATGCAATGTAAAATTGTCAATGCTTTCAAATTTTTCATGTAGATAAGGCACGGCTCCGCTCTGCACGCTCTGCTCTTTGAGCAAAATACCGAACACAAGGAAAGTGTACTCACACGTTATTTCTGAACACGCCCCAGAATGGATTGACGTCGTCGTCAAACAAACGTCAAAATGATTTGTTTTGATTTTGGATTATGACAAACAAGTAGGTAGTTTTTTTTCCAGTGGAAAGAAAGTACTAGTAGCCCTCCTAAAAAAGTTAAAAACAAGTAAAGTCGTACCCCCAAAAATAATGGCAGCAGAAATAAAACCGGCCGTACAAACGAACGACAGATTTTGTACAACAAAAAAGCCAGTCCTGCTATCCAAATTGGACGGTTGCAACGACGAAATCAACGCAGCAGTCTTGATTCCGGGTGAAGACGGCGTTATCAGTGTCTCCGACGATAAGTATGTGTCCAAAACAAAGCTGGTTTTGTAAATATTTACTCTTATACTCTAAAAATACCTTGCCAAATGTCTTAGGTCAGGGGCGGAGCCCATTTAAAATCAAATTGATTTTGTTCTAGAACTGTCCGAGTATGGCTAAAAAGAGACTCGGGCCAATATTGGCCCAGCATATGCCAATACATGCCCAGTGGTACCACTTCCATATACTACACTGTAGAAACCAGACAGTTGTTTATCGGACAAGAAAATGGGACCGTTTCTGAATTTTCTTTAGCCTCAGACTTCAATAGGATGATGCCTGTTAGGGAATATTTAGCTCACCAAGCACGGGTCACTGAAATTATATTTGCAATTACTTGCGAATGGATTTTGAGCGTAGGCAGGGATAAGGTGTTTTCATATAATTGTACCCAAACCGGACGCAATATTGGAACTTATAGCTCAGAAGCTTGGTGCACTTCTTTACAGTATCCTTTTTACAAATACTATAACTGCTTTTAGAAAAATTAACAATTATTATTTCTTAACTGGTTAAACACAGATTTGATGCCCAATCCAAACACGCCTTTGTAGGAGACTATGCAGGACAAATAGTCATGTTAAAATTAGATAACAATGGCCCAAGCTTAGTTACCACTTTAAAAGGCCATTCAGGATCTATTAGATCATTAACTTGGGACATTGGCAGAAAAATGTTGTTTAGTGGTTCCTTTGATCATACAATTATTGTTTGGGATATTGGGGGCCAACAAGGTAATGCTTATGAACTTCAGGGACACCACAATAAGGTAAGAACTGTAATGTGAACCCAACTTATTCTTATGATACAAATTGGAATTGAGTACGTACTCTTTCCATTATTTGGTATTCCATTTCATCGAAATTACCTAAGATTTGCAATGAATATTGTCATTGGATTTGTTTATTGAGTGTATAATAGCTATTTATATAAAGTAAGGCTTTATTGTACGAATAATTTTATGGCCGAGCGAGCTTGCGAGCGAGGCTATTAAATAATGAGTCAATAAAGCCTGTTTATGTAAGCGTTATATACATGATTTTATGTACGATTGCGACTTATTTTTGTTAAAAATTTAAAAAATTTAATGAAAAAAGTAAAATTCGCGTAGGTAGGTATATCTGTTTCACCTTGGCACGTTGTCGGGACCTGTTTCACCTTGGCAAGTTGTCAGGACCTGTTTCACCTTGTCAGGTTGTCCAGGTAGGCAATAAAGTAGCACTTTATTTTACTAGTAAAATAAAGTAGCATTTTATTTTACTAGTACAATAAAGTGCTACTTTATTGACGCAAAACTGTTCCATAAATAGCACTTTATTGATCAATCGGACATAAAAATAATTATGTTTAATAAACACACACAAAATTGAAACCACTCATTGCTCTGCTCTGCAGTGTATTTTGAATTTTCAAATACTTAGGAGGTCAGAATATTTTTTACCTCTTCAAGCCAAGGCTGAATTCTACCTATAAGAAATGGGATGGTTGTCTGGATAAACATCTTTTCTTGCATCTTTGATGTAAGAACTAGCTTGATAGTGTCTGTAACAGGCAGTAATCTTTTTATTTGTTTTTTTTTTTTTTGATTATATCCAATCCAAATAATTTCTCATCAATCCATAATTTTTGGTTTGACGCCACTGCCATACCATCTATAGCTGCGACACTATATGGAAACCGTTAAAACTTTTTTTTGTCAATTCCCAAAGAATGTTTATAATACCAAATTTGGGCCAATTTTTTGTTATTAGGTTTATTTTTTCACCTAATGATTCTACAAAAATCAAGATACTTTTACAGTGGGAGTAAAGTATTAATTATTGCCTTCACCTATCCTGTGACAGCCTCATGTCTACTGGGGGGCGGTTAAATCGGTGTACAAATGGACTTAAATCACTTTAAATCCTTTATTAAATCACATAAATCATCTTGTTTTGCTCTAAATCAGATTAAATGAGGTTAAATCCCTTCAAATCTCTTTAAATCCCTCCAAATATCTTTTTCTGAAATCCTTTTAAATCAATTAAATCCCTAAAATTCTGAGATTCGGAACATTTTAAATCTCTAAATAAATTTCCTTAAATCACCTTAGTTTTTTCATAAATCATATCAAATCACGTTAAATCAGGTCAGATCAATTTAAATTTTCTTAAATCTCTTACAATCCCTTTAAATCTTTTTAAATCTAGTTAAATCTGTTTAAATCCCTTTAAATCTTTCTATATCTCGTTAAATCTTTCTATATCTCGTTAAATCTTTCTATATCTCGTTAAATCTCTTTAAATCCTTTTAAATCTTCATACATCTTCATAAATCTCCATAAATCATTTCAAATCGATAAAGAAATGGTTAAAATCCCGCGCAATCGCGCAAACTTTGGGCGACTTCAACTCGACAAACCTCGAGGTGCAATCGCTTATATTCGTTTGCGGCTTGCGCGTGTGTATTTTTGTTGACAGCACCGGAAGAATCTTCAAATTTTTTGTGACTTCAAATTCAAGTTTTAATTATTTAATTGCATTGTGTACCAAGACTAGCTGACTTTGGTGGCACTTTTAGAACTGATAAGGTGTTCTCATTCGGGCTAAATGGCCGTCGTAAGTTGGAATTTCTTCCTAAGAGAAAGGAAGAAATTCCAACTTACGATGGCCATTAAGCCCGAATGAAAACACCTTATCGATAAACCTGGGCCGCAAAAGCCTCACAAACTTTATCACTTTTAGATTTTTTTTTATTAGTTCAAAATTTAAATTGGACTATTATGAGAGTAAAAGTACCCATTAGCACTAAAATATCTGGTTATTAGATACATTTTCATCTACTCAGGATTAAATTAATTACCTTGAATCATCCCAGGTTAAATCAGTTCAAATCGAGGTTCAAATCTTAAAAAAATCTTTAATCCATTTAAATCTTCCTAAATCAGGTTAAATCTTCCTAGATCAATCTAAATCTTTTTAAATGATCCAATAAATCTTTAAATTACCTTAAATCACCTTAATCAGTTAAGGTTTGAATAAAAATCTCTTAAATCCGATAAAATCTGTTAAATCAGTTAAAATCAAGAGTGATTTTAAATCGGTGTACACATTTTGAGGAAGTTGACCGCCCCCCGATGTCTACCTATGAAGGTAATTATAACAACTACCTACACAAGGTAATCAAAAGAAGGATAATCAAGTATATCTACAACGAGTTGTTGGTCCCAAAACAGAACCTGCAAAATTTTCCTCCAGGCTATCACTTGCTTATCCTACATTAGGCAAATCAGAATCAGATATTACCGTCTCGTCCCCTGAAAGAAATCATCCTAACGGCGAAATCTCACATAATGGACAGATCGCAGCCTCGCATCAGAACGTCTGAGGATTGAGATCCATGACCCAAGAAGTAATAAATTGTAATAATGATGTTATTGTCCTGATAGAGAATTATTATTATTATGTTCTTGGCAATGGAAAGCGGCCTTAGAACGATAAATCCATCGCTTTTGATTTTTCACTCTTAGTTTTTTGTTTTTGGTACTTCTTTAAAAATAATGCACTAATGTGTTATTTATGGTACAAAGATTTTGGTCTAGTCTATTTTTGAAATTTTTTTTGTTTGGTGCACTTATCGTTTCTGGGCTTAGGGAATTCCATTTATAGACTAGGCGATTGGTTAAAAAGTTTTTCCTTCCAAGAAGAACAGTTCTCTCTTTTTTCAGTTTTTGGTGGTCCTCTGAGGTTTAAGTTTGTATTCATTTGGAACATATCTTCCAGTTTTAGGTCTGTAGAGTAGTAGCCATTTAGGATCTTATGTGTTTCAATTAGGTCTCCTCTTTCTCTGAGTGTTGTCAACTGGAATTTGTAGTCTTATTTCGTATTGCAGATTTCTAAGTTGAATTGGGATTTTGGTTATTTTTCTCTGTACACTTTCTAAGAGATCTATGTCTTTGATGTAGTAAGGAGACCAAACTGTGTGGCCATATTCTAGTTTTGGTCTAATGTAAGTGGTGTACAGTTTTTTTTTATCATTTTCACAGTTTGATTTTCAAAAGCTTGTCTCATAAGGTATATTAGTTGATTGGCCTTCTTTACTGTGTGGGATATATGGGTTTCCCATTTCAAATCATCGGTGACATAGACTCCTAGGTCTTTCTGTTCTGAGACTTTTCTGAGTTCGACGCTATTTATTTGGTAGTTGTATCTAGGGTTATTTCGTCCTATGTGTAAAACTGTACACTTTTTTTCATTTAGTTTTAGCTGCCATGTGGTTGTCCATTTTTCTACAGTGCTCATGTCTTCCTTTAGTTGATGCAGTTGTGTTAAAGGATTTTCATATAGTTTTTTGTCCTCTGCAAAGGATTTTACTTTGGTTTGAATAGTTTTTGTCAGATCAGAAATGTAAACTATAAAAAAAAACAGAAACAAGTACAGATCCTTGTGGTACTCCTCTGACGACTGGGTACTAATCAGATCTGTTTCCATTTGCTCGAACATAGAAAGTTCATTGCTTAAGAAAGGAGCTGCTCCATTGTAGGTACTTGCCTCTTATTCCATAATGGCTCAGTTTGTAGCAGAGTCTCTCGTGTGGTACTGTATCGAAGGCTTTCTGAAAGTCGAGGTATATGACGTCGATTGGCTTGCCTTCGTCTAGGTTTGTAAACCATTCGTCCAGGCAGCTGAGAAGATTTGATGTTGTAGTAGACCTTTTTGGCATAAAGCCATGCTGTGTAGGAGGTATGATGTCATTTTCTAAGAGAAAGGATGTTGTTTCTTTTACAAGAATTTTATCAAGTACTTTGGACAGTGTGCAGGTCAGGCTGATGGGTCTATAATTGGACGGGTCGTCTTTGTCACCACTTTTGTAGATAGGTATCACTATATCTTTTTTCCAGATTTCTGGTATGATACCATTGTCTATTGAATCTTGGTAAAGTTGGGCTAATAAGGGTGCTAGAGACGTAGCACATTTCTTTAGAAATATAGATGGTATCCCATTTGGACCTTGACTTGAATAGGTTTTTAGGCTTCTTAGAGCTGTGGTGACTTTTTCTGTTGTTATGTTGATGACAGTGAGTTGAATATTGTTCATTGTCTCTATGGGCAGAGTTGGCATGTTTTTAAGGTTTTCTCTGGTGTAGACAGAATGAAATTGGTTTGCAAAAGTGTTTGCGGTGGTCTTTGAGTCTTTTATAAGGTCATTACTTATTGGATCTCGTAAGATTAAATCATGAACCTGGCTGCTTAGATTGCACTTGATATAAGAATAGAAATGTTTGTCATTTTTTTCCAGAAGATTTTCTTCATAGCTTTTCCTTGCTTCAGAGATTAATTTTTTTGGTTTGTTATTTTGTTTTCTGTATCTGCCCTGCCGTAGCCTTCGTCGGTTTTATTTTTAACATACTTGTCCCATAGTTTTCGCTTTCTGTCAATTTCTTTAAAGATTTTCTGATTGAGCCATGGTTTTCGATGATTAGTTCAGCATGTTTTTTCTAGAAAGAAATGTTCTATTGTTGAGGTGATAGTGCTTTCGAAGAGTTGGTATTCTTTGATTGTTGGATTCATGTCTGTTGATAGTACCTAGTTCTATATATTCGTTTATGGCGTCATAGTTTCCAACTTTGGGCGGTGGCTGCTATCATAATGTGATCACTCTTACCTAATGGTGACCCTGGGTTTTATTTGTGTCATCATTTTTTTGTCACTTGTTAAAAATAGATCCATTAAAAAGCTTTGATTGTTTCTGTGTCTTGACTTGAAGGCTCGCTTGAAGGTGACTATTTGT